GTTAAAAAAATGTAGGTCTTTAGCCTTGAATATAATAAAGAAAATATATGCATAAAATATATTCTCTTTAACATGCAATAAAAACTAAAGTTTAGGGTTGAGTAAACACTTGAGGCAGCAGAGGCCACACTGCCATGAGCTGGATTGCCCTATACAGTGCTGTTGATCAACTATGATTAACAATTCTCTATGCTCTGTGCTGAGTTTGCTAAAGGGACACTTCTGTCCAATGATGCATGAAACAACCTTTATTTTTCCCTTCTACACAAGGTCATCATGCACTCACCAGGCAAGCTGGGGAAAAAAGAAGACTAGGATATAACCTTTCCAAGTCCTCAAACTGCAATTAAACCATCAAGTTGTACAATATCTTGAATATTCTCCAAGACAATAAATAGTGCTGGTTACTTCATGACAGATTTATAGATAAGCTGAACTCAACAAAGCACATCTGCTTGTGCATATAAGCCAAAGTGCTTTAAAATGGGATTTATCTTGATGTCAATCACAGAAATAACATTTTCTCTGACATACCATCACCTTACAATTGGATTGCTTTTGTGTTTATAATTGAAGAATATAATGTGTTTTTTTGTTACTATCTACATGAAACAGAAAACAGCACGGCAGGAAAAAATAAGCAAAACAAAATCTGTTTTATTGCTAAAATTAAATCGCATGTGACTGCCTGGACTATATGTGTGAAAAACACTGAAATGAAAATGTCTCTACAGCTCCGTGCGTAGCAGTGCAGAATAACAGGATGCTTTAAGCCTGCTCTCTTGTCCGGGTTTTGCATAGCTCCATTATTCACACAGCTATTTTTAGTGCAAATCATTTTTTTTGTTTTTCTTTTACTGAACCAGCATGTATTTCAATGCATTTGTTACTAGACAAGAAAATGTGTTTATAGATATTCATTTCAGAAGGCCCCAACCTTAGTCAGCCTGAGGATTACTTCCAATAGAAAATGCAGATCTAGGCCATACAAACTATGGAAAAAGCACCCTCATTTTTTTTCTAAAATTGTATAAATCAGGTAATGTCTGCTTAGCGGTTTTAGGTTTTTTTTGCAAGATAAAACAAAACTTTTTTTTTTATAAAATGTTGACAGCTGAGTGCACAATGCAACTCACAAGCCAAGGTGAGGTTAACTGCTGTACAATATAGATAATAAAATACAACTAAAATACCATTGAATTCCATCTTTACAGCTCACCAAATTGTAAGGTTAATTGACATAGCTAGCCGTGTTGTCTTAGGCAGTATATGTTACCCCCAAATGGGAGAGATTTTGTTACTTGTGGTCGGGCAATTTAAAAGAAAACCTAACTGTTGGGGATAATGCCCATTAGCAATAGTTGCGCCAAGATCCCATTATGTCTTAGTTGCGCACAGCAGAATGTGCTGTTGTGAATTTCTATACTTCATCAATTTGAAAGTTAAGACAGATATTTCAAAAATTAAACTAATATTCACTTGAGATGATTTATACATTTTCCACCCAAATATATGCTGGCCAAATGCCATTAGCATGGCATTCTTGGCACTAGATGGAGCTGAGGAGAACAGGAATTTCCTAGTAGTGAGAATGCCATATGAACAGCCTTCAGGCAGTGTGTATGTCTGGGCTGATCATCCCCTTTGTACCTTATGCTACCAGGAAATAGGCTCAACCTTTTCTGTGTGTGTTTGTGTGTATATATGTGGTCTTTGTACATATTAAAAGTGTCAAACTCGCTGCTAAGAGTACATCAAATGTCAACATCTAGAGGAGCAGCAAACGATGTACTTCCAAGTACTAATGGAACTGTAGGCTGCTTATGCCTGCACAACTGTGTGTAAAGACTCAGGCATTACATTAGTGATCTTCTTGTGTGAAGAGGTCATTACAGAAATTGCTGCACGCAGATGCTCCACGACTAATGTGTAGTATGGCTTTCATCCTGGAAAAAGCCATATTACAAAGAATAGCCCCCTACGTCCCTCTAACATTCCTCCTTCATAATACTACCTTCTATAATACTCCATTATATAAAAGTCACATTTAGTGATCAATTCCTCCTCCATAAGTTGTTTTTTTTTCATCCGCTTACAACTAACAAAGACATTATATTTTATGATATTAAATCATACAATAACTAAGCTATAGACACTGTTCTATTACCAAGATTCTGTCCACTCTTTATCTTTCCCCACTTATCTTTTCCCAATCCTGCTGCCTTAACACAGATCATCAAAAAAAAAGTCTGCAGCTGGAAAGAGTCTCAATGCTTAATGCTAGCAACTTATTCTCCAAACAAAACGGTGACCTCGTTTAAGTCAGATTAAAATTAAAGGATGTGTTTGAAACAAACCTTAAAATATGTTAAGCAAGGAATGACTGATGATTCAATTCAGTCGGCACAGCTTGTCTTCTGCCAAGAGATTCCATATTGTTACAATTTGCACAGCACTGTATGTATGGATAACGAAGCTCCATCTTATGACTAACATGAATTACTATAACTGTACTAGTGCCAGGAACGCTTACTAGAGAATAAAAAAAGTAAGCTACTTTAAGATTCTCTGATGTACTCCAAAAATGCTTGGGGATGACTTCTAAAAACATGATGGAAGGAAAAGTGAAATCATTTCTTTGGCAACAAAGTCGATTATGGTTCGGGCCTACAACCATTTTCCCAGTGATGTCATTCTATTTTTTTGTTTGTTAAGATAAATGGCAGCAAAACAAAAGCACTAGAGGGACTATTGTGTACTGTAAGGACCACCCACCCAATACACAAAAGCTAGTTGTTTAAAGTGACATTAAAAAGGAGGAGAACTATGAGGTGAGTGACTTCCACTCATCCTCATAGTTACAGACAAAGAAGCTGTCACAGGTCGGCTCTATCGACCGGGAAGTGAGCAGAAAAAACATGCAGCTGATCTGCTCACTTCCCGATCGTCTCCCTGCAGTGTTCGGTGACTGTCAGTCCCCACTCCCTGCAGGGATTCCCCCCTCCACTCTCCAATCCTCTAGCGCCGAGTGGAGGAACAAACAGGGGAGGGGGCAGGCACAGATGGCTCTGCCTCTTGATAGGAGAGCCAGCTGTCACTGACGCAGCTGGGTGGATCCAGACAGTATTGTCGGGATTTGTCCTGGCTGCGGCGTTCTCAGTATATCGCGGGCAGTAGTCTGTTATATACTGAGTTTTTGGTCACGGGAGGAAGTTAGTATATGTCCTCCTGTGACCCTAAAGAGAACTATGGGGAACAACACTTACCCCATAGTTCTCTTTTAAAAACAAAAAGGTATTAGCTATATGAAGCAAACATTCAATAGTCCAGTCATAGGCAAGAGCCAGATAGCCAATACACCTACAAATTTATCACCAGCACCTTATGTCTTTCAGTCATTTCTGAATTCGGTGGAAGAACGTTTGTACTCTCTTAGGAAGGACTGACTGAATGCTGAATATAAATAGTACACCCTTGTTATGCACAAATACGTAAGGAAAACCAGATGATTCCAAAATAAAGCACCAAGAACCAATGTCTTAAATCTACACTTGTCATAGCACAAGTGAGTATTCAGCATTGATGGGAAAATTATTTGGCACACAAACAGGAACATGTATTCTTAACCTTCATTGGGTTGTGTTTGTGATTTCATTTCTCTCTATAATCCACAAACAGCACAGGGACTGAACACCAGAGAATTTGGGTCATTCCTCTCAGTTTGGCAGGAGAGAAAGCTAGATTAGAAATCTGCATTTTGTACTTGATGCATATTTTATGTGCTCAAGTTCTCCAGTCAAAATCCTACTGACAGCAGAAGGAAGAGTCACAGAAGACTGCACAGGGAAATTCAGACCTTACGGAAACATTTTGCACGCTTCAGACTTTATAGACACCATCCGCAGTCAACCAATCCTTCGGTCAAAGCTGTATGTTGAGTTTATGTTCTCATTCATGCACAAATAAATGAGGATACCCCTTCATACAGGCACTTCTGTACATCATTGTAAACAGCATAATATCTGACAATTGCACGATCTTGGAACTCCATTCCCTTCATTTCTGTTACAAGATTTCCACACAAGTGTCCAGAAGTGGCCCGCCAAAGCAAAAATAAAATAAAAATGAACCAAAAATTGTAAATATTGTATTTGGTGCTGACACAGGTCCTCAGTTACCTTATAGGCTATATCCTTTCTGCTGGATTCTATGTGCACATATTTGCAGCATCAAACCTCTGGGGGGTACAAGGTTAGAGGAGGTTAACTTCCTCCTCCACACCCAAAGTGGTCAACTTAGTTTGACATAAACCTGACCTTATCAAGTTTAGTCACAAGCAGCCAAATGCCTCAGCTGTGTACAGAGAAAGACCCATTATTCACATGGGACACACAGAGATTGCCACACACAAGCAGCACAGAGCAATACTTTAATGGCAGACAAAAAAAAAAAAAGAAGCAAAGAGCTGTCTATACTACCTTGCCCAAGGTGAAGGGGTTGCCCTGCATGTGCCAGTGCTTGACAGGGCAGTATGATTCACACTGTATTTTGTGCTAATAGCTATACACTTATTTAGTAAATAGCAGAAAGCACAGGCAAATCTCTGATAGAACATAAATGGCAATTTGGAGCCGTCTGGCATACTGCACTTGGAGCCCGAGAAGCAGTCTGTGACATTAGGACTCCTGGTGAAAAATCTGAAACAATACAGTATGTAAACCTATCCAATTACATTTCAAACCCAATTATTAAAATAATCTTTTAACCCTTTCCCTGCCACTGAGTTAAGTATTACATCAGAACAGGATCGTTTGTAGCAGGCCAAGTCAGTAAGACTTAGACCGGCTGGATTTTCTCAAACGGTAAGTTTATGGTCACTTCAATAATCATGTATTTAAAGTATAAAGGTGCCCAAGAGCCTGTCCCTTAATAGAATTGGCCCCCATAACATTTTCAACTACTCCCCAGAACCTGATCTTTCTCTCAGTACAGGATTTGGGTCACATCTCTGCTTTGGCTGGCAAGCCATGCTGCTCATTGTCCTGCTGCTGGTGTTCCCGCTAAAGCCATCGACCAACCCAGATTAGGATGAAGAGCAGAGTCGTGACCAAATGGATGAGATCGGTGAATTACCATTCACTGAGCTCCTTTGTGGTGGCTAAAACTGAAAGTGCTCACTCTAATAAGCAGGGAAACCTGTCCTAACAATGCCCTAACAATATCATGCAGCCATGACTGGAGTGTATGCATGAAGACAGAAAAGTGGCTGCAAAGAAGCAGCAGGAGATTAGCTGCACTGAGATGCAACAATAGATGAAAAAAATATTTTGTTAAAAATAGCATTTTTGTTATAGAATGCAATGTTTAGCAAACTAAAGGTAGGGTTTATACTTTTTTTAAGTAGATGTAAAACCATTGTAATGTAATGACATTTAGATTGCTGTAGCACTGAGTTGCATTATTAATTATTATTTAATTAAATAAAGCACTGTTTTAACCTTTTTTTTTATCCTTTGTTGTAAAATCAGAGCTGATGACCTCCTGTGGTCCCTTCCTGTCAACATGCATGCACTCCAGCAATGGCTGCATGTCAATTCTTAGGGCAGATTTCCTAATGGTGACAACAGGGTAACATGGCGGTGTAATATGTATCGGCGTGACTAATTGTACTCTCAGAATCTCATGTGACAGTGTTACAACACAGAAACAAATATGGAAGACAATAACAGAGTGTTGTTAACCTATAATAGCAAGTACCTGCACAAGGGCCTTCGTGGAAGGATCACCAGGTATTATTTTAATAAAAACTGCAAATTCAGACTAAGGGCTTGTCCACACCAGCCACAGAGCGTTTCTGCCTGATTGGGACTGGAACTCGATCGCATTGCGGCCGGCTCACTTTGTGTTGGGGCGGGAGGGAGCATGGCAGTGCATTGAAATCAATGGCACCGCAGCTACGCCCTCCGGGCCACAGTGTGTTGGCCGCACGGGAACAAGTGGCACATCTGTGCCTGCGTTTTGGTCCAATCAGAAAAAAAGGTGCTTGCAGCATTTTTTCGGACCGGACCAGAACTGAACAGCAAATCGCAGCAGTACAATTCACTGCACAAAAGGTAAGACAGGTTAAAAAAAAAAAATCCAAAGGGGAAATTAAGTTCCTCTTTAATAATTGACCTGTGAAAACCCCCAAAAGGGATTATAACTGCTGCTACCTTTTAAACTCCAGCTAGCTAGATACTGCAGAAAACATGCTTATAACAAATAAACAGCCTCTCGGCTTACAGTCTTTTAAGTCACGTGTTTCTGTTAGGAGTCATTAAATGAGGGCAGATAAAGGTCTTTCACTGAAACAAAAGCATGAAATCCACCTTGGCATGTGTGTAATTTACAGAGCAAGACAATCGAAATCCCTTGACGCACGCCGGGTAACAATAAGGCCAGAGGGTATTTCAATTCACTTCACAAATATATCCCTTGTTTCAAGACAGCAGCTCTAGATGACTTGACTGCAAACTTTGAGCACAGAATAACTCAAGAGGCCATTTTAGAATGTAATTGCTTTTATATGTTATCTCAACATGGTTAATAAAAAAAAAAAAAAAGAAAAATAATCATCTGATGTGTCACCTGTTTAATCCATTCTCTGGACAGGAATCAGATGGGTTAAACTTCACTGTTAGGATAAAGACCTGATTTCACAAGTTTCCTGGAGGAGAGAATGGAAGTTCTCAGTAGCAGATGTGTCTGCCTACCTTTGTGTCTTCGGTGCTAACTCCAAGTTCTAGCACAGCCTGGGGAGACTTCATTTTTGCTTGGGTGGATTGAGCCATCTGGAGGTTGAGCTGCCAGGCAGTTGTCTCCAGCTAGACAACAAAACACAAAAAAGCAATAGTTTCTTATTCTATGTGCTTCTGAGCTTACACAGATAACGTGAAACAGCAGTTTTGGTGAAGTGAGGATATTATTATAAAGCATCTCCCTTTTCTGCCATCTGTGTCAGTATTCTTGGCAATCACTTTCAACATATTACCTAAATGAGGTAAGCTAGCTTTATGAAGAGGACAGCATAATGGCACAGAATAACATACAGGAAACACAGAAAAACAGCTGAAAAAACAACAAAATGTGTGGGTCTACGCAGACAACTTCATTATACTTTTGTATGTGGACTTATCATGCTTTTAGATTAGTTATCCATGTGTGCATCTTAGCCGGTAAAGGGTGTGCTTCCTGTGCAAGGTTTGATTTACTATATTGGAATATTGGAGAACACTATGATAACTTTAGCATTAAAGTGACACTAAACTCAGGAGTTAAATCTTAAAAATACATACAAGTACATTCACTATTAAAGTGGACATTTACCCATATCTTTAAAATAACAACAAACACACCTTTAGAAATGTTTAGTATTGACAATCTACAAACACATACATATAGATAATTGCAGACTTTGAATTAAAAAATTCCTTATTTCTCTTTTCTTCCCCAGTCTTCGGACAGTGACCATGTTTACTAAGGGCAGATTACTAGCTCTCCTTTTACTTCCTTGATTTCTGGCACGTGTCTAGACATGTGACTAGGACATGTGACCATGCACATCCTCTCAGGGGAGGAAAATGCCTTTTCAGATGCTCTGCTGATGACAAGTCAATCCCAGGAAAAATTGCTTTGCCAAACCAAAGTTATTTTGCCCTTTCAAAGCAGGAAGTGAATGCTCTGCAAGTGTAAGTATTTCAAAATCACAGCATTTTACACCTGACGTGTCTATGTTATTATTAATCATCATACAGAGACGGATGCATTGGTAGAATTTGATTTTTTTAGTGTAAAAGGTCCACAGAATGTATCATATGTGTGTATAGATCCTATAATTTCTGAATTGGTACTCACACTGTCTTTCCTTCTGGAGGGTGGCTACTTTTGTTCCCCATGGTCCCTTGGTGTGTTGTAAAATAGTCACCGGTTCAAACTGACTCCCAGGATGTCTAAATCTTCAGTACAGTTTACTCATTTGTATTAGATTGTAGTCCATCATGGGAGTAAGCTTGGAGCAGTGGGGAACAAGAGCAGCCACCCTCCAGAAGGAAGGACAGTGTCAGCACCAATTCAGAGATGGTTCCAGGATCTAAAGCTGAGTGATACACAAACAGGATACATTTTTGTTAATAGTTAAAAGGTACTAGACTGCATTTTTAATATTTAACTCCTGAGTTTAGAGTCAAAGAAATATAAATCAGACAATCAGGCGTCCACATCACTGTAAATGTGGTCAGCAAGTATGTGCAAAGCATAAATCAGTTAAAGCCTTAAAACCCAACTACGATCAAAAATATTTTTTTCCTACCCACCTCTAACCCATCTTGTTACACTTTTGTTTCCAATTACCTTGTGAAGTCAAATATACTCACCTAAGAGTCCCTGTAGGTCCCTAATCACCGCTGTTTCCAGGTGGCAGAACGGGAATCCAGCAATGCGATGGCGTCCAAGACTGCTGCTACCTTTCACTCCCCTCCTCTGATGTTGGTCCTCTTCTGGATGCTGAGAGGACCCTAGCCAATGGACATCCAATAGGAAATGTCCATGTCATGCAGTCGCTTATGTGGACAAATTTAGAGAAGGACCCAAGCAGGAAGTTAGGTAGTTAAGGCTTTTAGGTAGGGATTTTTTTCTTGCAATCAGATTGTGGAGCATGTGTGGGGGGTTTGGTGAGGGGTGAATTTTATCATTCAGCTGTCATCATCTTAACAGGAGTAGAGACAGAGACAAGCTATTGTTCATTTGGATTAAAGGCCAGCTCCAGCCAAAACAAGGTATTCCACCAACAGGCATCACTGTAGGCAATAAATACCCGACCCACGTTATCACCTTTTTCTATGCCTACATCTCTGGGCAAAATTTCCCCAATAGCTACAAAAACAACAGTATCAATCTAACCAAAGTTCTAAGCCCCCTCCACTCTGTCCACAGCTAGAAGAAATAAAAGTCAAATAAAAGAATCCAGGACAAATATGAGGGCCTGCACTGGCTCATAAAATGATTATTTAATATAGTTATGTTGAACATCACTCTATAGACAGCTTTAGAAATAAAGACAGCATAAGAAAATAGGGTTCTTATTGTCCAGTGTAAAACAGCTAAATAATACCAGAAACACTGAGAGAAATCAGGACTGATGACATAGAGAAATCAGGACTGATGAGAAATCACACACACACACACACACACATAGTTAATGGTCATTATAATTGCTTAAAAAAAGTTAAAACTGCAGTAAAAGTGCGAAAGTATTGTCCCACACTGATTGAATCGTATAACATATATAAATAGAATGTCGCTATGCTATTTAGGAACAGATCTGCGGTAATAACAATGAACCTTTGGAATAGACATAGTTGTGACTAAGTTTCTCTACATCTTTTCAACCTTGGGGAGTGTGGGAGGTGACAAGATGGACAGTGAAAAATAAAAAGTGGCATGTTGGTATGCCATTGATTGACAAGTAGACTGAAAAGCGACAGAATAAGCCCTCGCTTTACCTCATTAATAACCATACAAAATGACGGCATCTATTCTAAAAAGATATTTTTAGAGACCTCAGCACCACAATTATGCATGTACGTCTTCATGATTCCGAAAATACAAACTGACAGGCAAAACAAAAACTTGGATTGGAACCAAATAGCATTGTTTCTCAACTGTAGTCTCAACTGGGTAAGAATCAGCCAGTCTTCATGTGTTAAGCAGTACTAAGCAGATATCCATTACAGGCCTAACATATTGCTTCAACAGAATAGTTTCAAAAGCTCATTGACTTTGTCTTATGTGCCTTTGATATATGATATAATGATTCCTCTAATTGTTGAGGAGTTTTTAATTGGTGATCTTGTGCAGGCAATGACAAACAGCTTGGAATAATATCCAATGGCATAGCATTAGTAAGTGATTGCAGATGGCCTTGAAGTCATTTGTGATATGCTTGAGGTTTCTGTAATTATGTCTTCTGCAAAGCACAATTTAATTGTCACTAAACAAGTTAACTCTGTGTTAAACGGTGACCCCTCCACAAGAGTCTATTGTGAATCTGCTGGCCTTGGGAAGATGTATCATAAGATTTGTTCAACAGGTGCAGCTTTCTAACCAGTATGCACCAGCAATAATCTCTGACAAAGATTGCCCTTAAAATGAGCCTGCACTTTACCTATATTAGGAAATAATAGTTTACATCATAGAAGGTGCGGCAAGTATTCTGTACTTATCATCCTCCAGCATTCTCATTCACCTCCAGAGTCCCCAAAAACTCCTTTGTAGATTTATTTTTTTATTAAGAACATCAAAATGTACACAGTATGTTGTACATGAACATCCTAGCACCCAACCTGACAGCACTAAGGGCAGGTTCACACCATTTTCCGATCCAGATCTTGTTTGAAAAATGGCGTGACCCTGCCCGCAGTTCCACTGCACTGGTCTGAACAGAGGCCAAAAATGGCATAGGGATACATCAGGATGCATTTTGGGTCCGGAAACAATCTGGTCTGGTCTGGAGATGATCTGGATGTGGTGTGAATGGGCCCTAAAATCTGATAATCGGCTGCTCAGACACAGATCGTTGTTTTAAGGGAGGTGGGGGAATCACGTTTCCAGATTACCTCAAAAGTCCTTTTACAATGTTTTTAACTTCTTGTAAATGTTTCCAGATTCCCAGAAGTACTGAATAGCTGAGGCCTGTCAGGAAGGTAAGCACAGACTGCTTACAATAGTTACTCTCCTGTCTGCATCTTGATTTAGAATAGATTCAATCTTTTAGTTTAAATCTTTATCAGTTTGCCTATTGCAGTGTGCCTTTTTTTTGTTAATTTGTTAAATAAAACCAGGGTTTTAATTAAAACAGCATACCAAGAAGCCTTATATGGCTGT